ATTCTTTCGATGACTTTTAAGCGATCGCAATCCACTCAGTACTGGGGGCATAAATAGATTTATGTTTTATTTCTTCGTGGTACTAGACTTCTTTTCAAAATATTATTTCATAATACCATTAGTTATCACATGAACATGATTAACTGATTAAAAAATTGCACAGATAAAAAACAAAAACAATAGACAATGAAATACTTTCACTGAATGTCATTTTATTAATATGTTGTTTTTCCTCAGCTTCATCGATCTCTGTTGTCGTAATTTTGATTTTGTTTTGAAGTTAATTTCGAACATAGAAGTCTATCAAATGTATATGGTACATGGTTCGAGTGCAATAGTACATGGATTACTTTTTAAAGATCTTAATAGAGGTGAACGATTTAATTTATGCAATAAAACCAGGCATAATTAAAAGAACACCTTTCGCATGAGAAGCAACCGCCGCATCCTGGGAATAGCGTGGCAAGAGAAGGCGCCCAACACTGAGATCCTGTCTCGATCAGGTCTGCCGAGACAACGCAGACTCCGTTGGTTAGGCCACGTCCACCGCATGCCAGACGGCTGCATCCCCAAAGAAGGTATGGAGAGCTGGCCTCTGGAAGGAGATCCACCGGGCGGCAAGAGCTGCGATACTGTGATGTCGTGAGGCGCGAGACGAAAGCTGTGGACATCAACACAGAGTCCTTGGGCGAGCCAGGCAGCCATACGATCCAAATGAAGAGGAACCCTGATTAAACACCTGAAATCAGGGGAGGAGAAGCTGGCACAAGTTGCCATGGAAAGGCGGACCCGCAGAAAGCAAAGTGACAGCTCCAACAGACCAGAGACAGAACACACATGCGACCTCTGCAACAGAGATTGTCACTCTCGCATCGGCCTCTACAGTTACAGACGTCAATGCTCCAGTCAAGCAGACAACTTGGATGCTACCCATGGTCAACCCTGACCGACGAAGTCCTACAAATATTAAAAGAAAAAAGTTGAAAACTTCAACTATACTAGTTGACTATACTAAAAAAAAAAAGAAAAGAAAAAATATAGAATAGAATTAGCAAACCGATATCACTCCTCACTGCTCAGAACTCGATTCGGGTAATTAAGATATTATGCACACCGATTGTTATAATTTCTGTGTGGGACAAATATATATATATATATATATATATATATATATATATATATATATATATATATATATATATAATAATAATAATAATAATAATAATAATAGCTGGACACTGGTATTCGAGGGTGCCCGTCTACTAGGCCGGCTAGCCAATCCCTATTGCAGACTCTCGCTCAGGTACATTTGTGTTTGTTCAACATCTACAAAGAAAACCTGTGGTTTATACTGCAACTATGCTAAGCAGACCTTATTTATAGTTTCTAAGGGAGGGTGGGAGGGAGGTAGAGAGAGAGAGAGAGAGAGAGAGAGGTAGAGAGAGGGAGGTAGAGAGAGAGTGTGTGTTATCTAACATGATCAACAATCTGAACAACCGCCAACCATCTCAAACCCCCGGTCACTATGACTTGTGACTTTGTGCTAACACAGCTGTCGACGGTCCCAAAGGGTTACGTCTACCCAATTTCACTCACGAGGCTTAGGTCAACTCGTGGTATGGTTTTCAGGTACTTTCTAAAGATATCGTCCCCTTCAAGACCGATAACCTCAGGAAGTCTCTTTCCTGATAAATCAACAGTGTAGAGATTCTCATAGTCAGAAAGCGAACGTTCTAACCACTAGACCACGCGCCCATATATATATATATATATATATATATATATATATATATATATATATATATATATATATATATAAACACTAATATTCCATGGTCATAATTTATTCCATTGGAATCGTAAATTCGATCAAATCATCAGACCTACAAATTCAAATTTGAAATTTGGTTTTGAATTTGTAGGTCTGATGATTTGGATCGTATTTACGATTCCAATGGAATAAATTATGACCATGGAATATTAGTGTTTAAGCCTTTTTATTATATCCTTACTCTGTCCTAGACATTGAGTTCTACCTGCATTCTTCCTCTTGGAAAATTTTTTTCTGAAAATATACATGTATGGGTATTTTTATATATATTTTGCATATGTATGTATATTTTCGACTAATATTATCTATCTATCTATCTATCTATCTATCTATCTATCTATATATATATAATAATAATAATAATGGACTCTCCCGTCAGATTCGACGTATGAGGATCTGACAGCTTAGTTGATTCAGTTATGAAATTTTGTGCGATAATCTGAAGTGGCATTTAAGACCCGCTAGTGATTTACAAAGAAGGCCACATCTGGAGCAAGTGTGAGGGTTGTGAGATGAGATCACTGTTAGATTGGCTGACCTTTTAGATCGTGCTCTCGCTTCTTGAAGATGATTCAGACAAGCAGATTGAAAACTGCTGAGTCAACTAAAACACGTTGATCTCCATAAACACGATGATTAAAATTGTAATAAAGCATAAACATATGAAAGTGAATTTATATAAATTTCTTTTGTTAAAAAACGCTACTTATAAGATTGTTTATTTATACAATTTATTATATTATTTATTGTAATGGTTGGCAAAAAATTGGCTAATTGCCAATAGATTTAAATTTTATAAATGGTAAATAATAACAATTTACTCATAGTTGGTTCACATTTTTTTAAAAATTTAGCAAATGTTTATAAATTTATGAATAACATTGTTTTCACGTCTAATTCTTTATAAATTAGTAAATGATAATTGTTGCATTGCATTAGTTTTAATTGGATTAGTTTTTAAAATGTTGTTAATTATATATGTATAAAGTTACACTCTACCACGAATGGATCTTGGGCCTTGCGCAGGGTGAGCCTTATTGTAAAAAAAAATGTTGTTTACGCAAAATTTGTATGATTAGATTTGGGTTTATAGGAGACTGTGAGCCGATTATAAGAAAAAAGTATAGAAAAACAAAAAATAGGTTATTTACATAGGTTTTCCCACTGCGTCTTTTTCTCGTCGAAAATTTTGTAGCAAATCTACAGGAAACAAAAAAATGTAAAAATTCACTTTCATCGTCTGCTTAGGTTTTATTATACGCACATGCGTGCGCAGACGCACACACACACACACGTGCACACAAACACACACACACGCACGCGCGCACAGACACACACATATATTTATAACTTCAAACGTTATTTTTAGTAGATATCCGTAACGTTTGAAGTAATAAAAACTGTCGAATTAAAAATAAACAACGATTAATACTTTAGAAATACACACTCACTCACTCACACACACACACACACACACACACACACACACACACACATATATATATATATATATGAGGAAATATTTGGGAAGTGGGTGTGACCGTGAACTTCTTTGTGTGTCCGTGTTTAATGTAGATAAATCCCACTTTAACAAAATTAATAAATAAATAAATAAATAAGCATCTCTTCAACGTTGAGCTGAGCTTCCATGGGTCCTCAGTTAAGTTTCCAAACAAGCTTCGTTCCTGCACAAATTTTTATATATGTGAAGGACGAAAGACTTTTGGAGACTCTTGGAAGTAACTCCTCGTGCACACTGATGGGCCGCTTTAGCCAGGCGTCGGCCCTGCGAATTTTATCACAAAACTTAACATAAAGTTCCCTGCAAATATAACAACATTCCCGCAGATATTACGTGCAAGCTCAGACTGAATATTTGGGGGCTCGAGTCTATATCACATTCCCTAAGAGCTTTTTCCAATTTTAAATGCTCAGCCAGTTTGATCGCAAAACGATTGCAATCAGCAAAAACTCTCTCCAACCGAATCTGTTCTGTTTCTTTTTCCCAGGCTTTAACACTAATTTTAATTGGTACACACACACACACACACATATATATATATATAGACTAGAGAGCGTGAGAGAGAGAGAGAGAGAGAGAGAGAGAGAGAGAGAGAGAGAGAGAGAGAGAGAGAGAGAGAGGTGGGGGAAAGAGCTTTTCTTGGGTTTAATTTTAAATTCTCCACCCTAAGTTTAATCTCGTGTTGATGAACCTTAGCAGCCAAATGCACGCGATTGAATTCCGAATTTAATCACCTTCCTGATTATGTTGGATCCTTTGAGCCAAAGGCTTTCCCGTTACACCGTGAATAAATGATTTTATAATTAATTGCATGTTTTATTCTAACTCTATGTGAAAAGAGCTGACAATAATGTTTCTTTTTTTTCTTTCTTTTCTGTATTTCTTTTTCTCTTATGTCTTTGGATTCTGTATTTCCATTGTAATTTCTTTTTTCTCCCCCTTTTCTCGTTACTTTTCTTTTAATCAGACAATATTCTTCCTTTCTGTTTTTCTTTCTTTCTTTCTTTCTTTCTTTCTTCTCTTTCTTTCTGTCTTTTGTTTCTTTCCTTCTTTCTTTCTTTCGTTCTTTCTTCTCTTTCTTTCAGTCTTTCTTTCTTTCTGTCTTTCTTTATTCCTGTCTGTCTTTCTTTGGTTTGTTTCTTTATTCTTTTCTTTTGTCTCTTCTTTTCTTTTGAATATTGTTTCTTTTTTTTCTTTCTTTTTGGTCTGTCTCATGTCATGGTAATTTCTTTTCCTTTCCTTTTCATCTCTTTCTTTTTTTCTTTTTCTTGAATATTCTTTCTTTCTTTCTTTCTTTTCTTTGGTCTGTCTCATGTCATGGTAATTTCTTTTTCCTTTCCTATATTTTCTCTCTTACAATATCTTTCTTTCTTTCTTTCTTTCTTTCTTTCTTTCTTTCTTTCTTTCTTTCTTTCTTTGGTCTGTCTCATGTCATTGTAATTTCTTTTTTTTCCTTTTCCTATATTTTTCCTATATCTTTCTTTCTTTCTTTTTTCTTTCTTTCTTTTTCTTTCTTTGGTCTGTTCATGTCATTTTAATTTCTTTTCCTCTTCTGTTCTTTCTCTCTTTACCTTATCTTTCTTTCTTTTTTTTTCTTTCTTTTCTTTCTTTCTTTCTTTCTTTCTTTTTCTTTCTTTGGTCTGTCTCATGTCATTGTCATTTCTTTGTCCTTTCTATTTTCCTTTCCTATTTTTTTTTTCTTTCTTTCTTTCATTTCTTTCTTTCTTTCTTTCTTTTTCTTTTGGTTTCTTTCTTTCTTTTTCCTTTCCTATATTTTTCTCTTTCTTTCTTTCTTTTCTTTCTTTCTTTCTTTGGTCTCATGTCATTGTAATTCTTTTTTCCTTTCCTATATTTTCTGTCATATCTTTTCTTTCTTTCTTTCTTTTTTTCTTTCTTTCTTTCTTTCTTTTTCTTTCTTTTTTGGTCTGTCTATGTCATAATTTCTTTTTTCTTTCTCTTTCTTTCTTTCTTTCTTTCTTTCTTTCTTTCTTTCTTTCTTTCTTTCTTTCTTTGGTCTGTCTCATGTCATTGTAATTTCTTTTTCCTTTCCTATATTTTCTCTCTTACCATATCTTTCTTTCTTTCTTTCTTTCTTTCTTTGGTCTGTCTCATGTCATTTTAATTTCTTTTTCCTCTTCTGTTCTTTCTCTCTTACCATATCTTTCTTTCTTTCTTTCTTTCTTTTTTCTTTCTTTCTTTCTTTGGTCTTTGTCATTGTAATTTCTTTTTCTTTCCTCTCTTACCATATCTTTCTTTCTTTCTTTCTTTCTTTCTTTCTTTCTTTTGGTCTGTCTCATGTCATTGTAATTTTTTCCTTTCCTTTCCTTACCATTCTTTCTTTCTTTCTTTCTTTCTTTTCTTTCTTTCTTTTCTTTCTTTCTTTCTTTCTTTCTTTGGTCTGTCTCATGTCATTTTAATTTCTTTTTCCTTTCTGTTCTTTTTCTCTTACCATTTCTTTCTTTCTTTTCTTTCTTTTCTTTTTTCTTTCTTTTCTTTCTTTGGTCTGTCTCATGTCATTGTAATTTCTTTTTCCTTTCCTATATTTTCTCTCTTACCATATCTTTCTTTCTTTCTTTCTTTCTTTCTTTCTTTCTTTCTTTCTTTGGTCTGTCTCATGTCATTGTAATTTCTTTTTCCTTTCCTATATTTTCTCTCTTACCATATCTTTCTTTCTTTCTTTCTTTCTTTCTTTCTCTTTCTTTGGTCTGTCTCATATCATTTTAATTTTTTTTCCTTTCTATATTTTTTTCTTTTCTTTCTTTCTTTCTTTCTTTCTTTCTTTCTTTGGTCTGTCTCATGTCATTTTAATTTCTTTTTCCTCTTCTGTTCTTTCTCTCTTACCATATCTTTCTTTCTTTCTTTCTTTCTTTCTTTCTTTCTTTCTTTCTTTGGTCTGTCTCATGTCATTGTAATTTCTTTTTCCTTTCCTATATTTTCTCTCTTACCATATCTTTCTTTCTTTCTTTCTTTCTTTCTTTCTTTCTTTCTTTCTTTCTTTCTTTCTTTCTTTGGTCTGTCTCATGTCATTTTCTTTTTTTCTTTTTTCTTCTTTTCTTTCTCTTACCATATTTTTTTCTTTCTTTTCTTTCTTTTTTCTTTCTTTCTTTCTTTCTTGGTCTGTCTCATGTCATTTGTAATTTCTTTTTCCTTTCCTATATTTTCTCTCTTACCATATCTTTCTTTTCTTTTTTTTCTCATTTCTTTTCTTTCTTTCTTTTTTTCCTTTCTTTGGTCTGTCTCATGTTTTCTTTTTTCCTTCTGTTCTTTCTCTCTTACCATTCTTTCTTTTTCTTTCTTTCTTTCTTTCTTTTTCTTTTTCTTTCTTTGGTCTGTCTCATGTCATTGTAATTTCTTTTCCTTTCCTATATTTCTTTTCTTTTTTTCTTTTTTTTTCTTTCTTTCTTTGGTCTGTCTCATGTCATTGTAATTTCTTTTTCCTCTTCTGTTCTTTCTCTCTTACCATATCTTTAATTCTTTCTTTTTTCCTAATTTCCAGTCTGCACCGATAAACACTTACGGACATTTGCAAATTTCTACGAAATGTCATGGGAATCTTAATCAAATCAGCTGACTTATACTAGGGGTGCTGAAAAGCGCTCGGCCTAATCTACTTCCCCAAATTAGTATTTGAATGACCAATATTCTTAGAAAGGATTAAATTAAGTTGGAAAACGATGAGGCAAGTGTGTCGAACTGTAGACTAAACAAATGTAATAGCATGTACGCTTCATGACACGAGGTTATTGCTTGTGATTGGGCCGAGGACTTTTCAACAACATGAATAGATTATTGCAAACATCAATTTAATCTGGTTATTTTAAAGAAGTCATGAAATACTGGAAATTCCAGATTTATTTACCACCTAATTACAGAAATGTCGTCCGTGATTTTTCTTTTTTACAATGACGGGCAACATTTCACAAAACACGGAAGCCACTCAAGGTGGAGGGTTACAGATTAAGAGATACAGTTTATGCGGATATGTAGGGAAGATAACGGTTAATCCTAGATTTGATCAAATTAAGATTACAGTGATCAGGGAAGCATTCTGTTAGGAGTCAGTTCCACATAGCAGTGGTTATATTAATTAGCGTAATTACAGAAATATCGTCCGTGATTTGTCTTTTTTAAATTGACGGGCAACCTTTCACAAAACCGGGAAGCCACTCGAGGTAGAGGTCTACAGATTAAGAGGTACAATTTATGCGGATATATAGGGAAGATAACGTTTATCACTAGATTTGATCAAATTAAGATTGCAGTGATCAAGGAAGCATTCTGTTAGGAGTCAGTTCCACATAGCAGCGATTTGTGGGAAGAAGCTACTCGAGTGGAACTTATAGCTCACCAATGGAATACAAAGGGAATGAGGGTAGTTTGATATAATGTGTGGGTCATGACGAGTCATAGTGGAACTAAAAAAATGTAGTTCTTCTGAGTACTTTAACTTGTTTCGTTTAATTAAATATCCATTGTCTCATCAGTAGCTCCAGGAAGTTTACGAAATCGTAAAACTCTTGTACACATTCACTGAATCAAAAGCGAAATACGCAATTTGACTGAAAGATGGCGGAGTTTCGGAGAAAGACAAGTAAAATAATTTTCTGACTGAATAATGACGTCATGAATTGCTATGATTAAAAGATTTTGCAAAAACGTAATGAAAACATCTGCATTGGCCTGATCTGAAGTGATATCGAAATGTTCCCGGACTGCACGCATTTTAATGGTACTTGTTCAACAGAAATGCACACGCGGTTTATCCTCATTAGTACACCACCCACTGAGTGAGTCGGCAAATAGGTTCGGGTCATCTATTCTTGTTGAATTATTACGCGATTTTTTTAAAGATTGTTCGTTTCAACGCAACGTTAAATATCAAACATCGAGACCATAATAGAATGTACTTTCCTTAAAAAGGTAAAAATGGAAACTTGCTTGCTATGATGTTGTTCGTGGCCGAGAGGTAAAAGTATGCCGGATAAACGGGGGATTCCCCTACAAAAGGACATGCTGGATACATATATACCAAGGAACGTTTTCTATTTACTAACATTTCTTAAATGCGCAGACCGACAGACGTAATATCCACTGTGCAATAAATAAAAATGGGTCGTCTATTTTAAATACTATAATATAATATCCATTAATTCTTTATATATATATATATATATATATATATATATATATATATATATATATATGGTATCTCGTCGGTTTTGACGTATGAGGATTTGACAGCTTAATTGATTCAGTTATGAAATTTTGTGCGATAATCTTAAGTGACATTTAAAACCCGCTAGTGATTTACAAAGAAGGCCACATATGGAACAAGTGTGAGGATTGTGAAATGAGATCACTGTTAGATTGGCTGACCTTTTAGATATTGCTCTCGCTTCTTGAAGATGATTCAGACAAGCAGATTGAAAATTGCTGAGTCGACTAAATCACGTTGATCTCCATTCTACCCGCTCCAAGGCTAAGCGCTCAAGGGTGTTATGTGGTATATTGACAGCTGACAAGTTGCTTTTCAGCTTGTCTTTTTATCTTAGCCATGGGCGTCCTACATTCCTGTAGCCCTGACCTAACTGGCTGTACATTAGGATCTTGGGTATCCTGTCATCAGACATTCTCAAGACATGACCAGTCCACCGTAACTGAGACTGTATGATAAAAGTCTCGATTCCTCCAATATTACACCTGTTAAACAGGTCTACGTTATATGTTCTATCTTGAAGGCTAACTCCACAGATTGCACGCAGACAGCTTTTCGACTACTCCTAGAGGCCGTAGTCCAACATATCATACCTTTTTTGGAAACAGGCCGACGACCCCGGGAGCAAATTAAAAACATTCCAAGTCGGATCCAGACCCTCAATTCTGAAATCTTGATTCTCAAGTTTTCATTACTGAAATTGTTTGCCGCGATATTTTACGGGATATTTTGCGATGAACGTTTTTGTACTTGGAATTAAATTTGGGAATAATCGAAATTAATTGCAAAATCCAGCGAAAGTCACCCATGAAATAAAAATAATTGTTGGCACAGAAAATAAGGACCTATATACATCAAATTGTCTTTAAATTAAGTGGCGGCTGAAGGATTATCGTTGAACGTTTCAAAGGTAAGCTTAAATATTAATGCAATACTTAAATGCAGCGATCAAGTTTGAGTTCTGTAGTTTATTGTTGCCTATCACATCTACTCATCCCTACCTATTATGATGAAGGCCCAATCAAGATAGGGCGGCTTTTAAGTTAGTAGTATATAGTATATATATATATATATATATATATATATATATATAAGTTATGAAAAACTTGGTACTCCGTATAGGTGGAGCTAATAGTTAAGTTATGAAAAACTTGGTACTCCGTATAGGTGGAGCTAATAGTTAAGTTATGAAAAACTTGGTAATCAGTATGTCTTAACCATGTCAACCATGTCTCTCCCACCACTCCTCTCTACCCTCTCTGTTTAATTACATAAACTCGATACTACCCGTAAAAAGTATGAATTTTCATTTCTTCTTTCATTTCATTTTTGGAAGTGTTATATGATGATCCAACATCCCTTAAAAGGGCTCTGATGAAATAAATTATTATAATGGTACCTTAAAGTGTTCTGTTTTTCTTTGAAATATATATATATATATATATATGTGTGTGTGTGTGTGTGTGTGTGTGTGTGTGTGTGTGTGTGTGTAAAATCGTTCGTGCGCATGTGTAATCGCATCAACGTAAACACAAACTTACTCCGATGATGTCTTAAAGGACAAAACGCGTCACGCGAAAACTTTTTTATAATCTTTCCCCTGATATATATATATATATATATATATATATATATATATATATATATATATATATATATAAATCGGTTATTTCTAGTTTATTATTTTATTCTGACAACTATTAAATAGGTATAACTGGTATTATTATTATTACGTTAACGGTAATATTAGACGTTCCCTTATAAGGAAACATTCATTGACCGAGCAGCCAGTACTGCTGTGGTTGTAAATTTATAAAATATTTCTCTTAAAACAATTTTTCAGGAAAATAGGCTTCTCAATTTCAATAGCTCTTATCACACTTTCCAGTATTGATGGAGTTTTCCTTCCTAAAATTTTATTTGAAGTTGTGTGGAACGACATTATTTTGGTTAGGTCACTATTTACTCTTCGAGTTACATGTGCTATCCATTTTAGTTGTTGCTGTTCTTGAAAGTCTTCAAGTGACGTGGTTTCTGTTATTGTGTTTTTGTTATATGTATATGTGTGTGTGCGTTCTTAATATTACTTGTGTATGAACACTCATATTATGTATATCAAATGTTTTCATGTTCATCTGTTTTCATATCTGCATTACACAAGTCCTTCCTTCTGTCTCATTAAAGGGTTACTTTATCTGCGATATAATAATGTCTGTAGTGGACTTTGGAGAGTAGAGAAGACCTCTCTCTTTCCATGCACTATTGATCATATGAATCTAATCTTTCGTTTTTCTTTTTCATTTTAATTTAGAGTCAGGTTTTCGCTTCAACAAGAGTCTATATTTTTCTTTTCTTCGCTATCTGTAACACCCATGCAGATTATAGGAAGGACAATCCAGACGGTAAAAAAAAATCCAAATAAATAATGGTTAAAGAATAAAAATAACAAAGATAAAGATCATTGGGTAAGCAAATTTATAAACGTAACTTCTCTAGATACGCCAGTTAACGATCACGTGAATGGAGGAAATAAAATAGTGGCCTAGTTTTATAATCATTAGTTTTGATGCTGATTACTCCGATGATGTTAATGACGATAATTATACTGCTATCAATGAGGATGTAAACGATGCTCTAACCATGGGAGTTGCGACATAGCTGCAACGCTGATGGCAGACGAGCAACTTGAAGTGGCAGGAAGCAGGCATTTCAGGGCATAATAATTCGTACAAAACCAGCTCGGATGTGCCATTTGAGAGGTGCTAATTGGTGACATTATCCCAAATTTGATGAGAACCCACCCGGATTTGCACGTGCCATGTCTGATGAGGCCATTCAGATGTTGTTTTTTTTCCCCACTTTTTTTGTGTTGTCTGATTTGAATCTGTCATGTTACGCATGGCGATAATTTAGTTTAGTTAGACAGAATTCTTTTCCGGCCTGGAAAAATTTTCAAAAATAGCTGGCATCTATTCATCGAATTTTGAGATTAAAACTCTTAAGGAAAATACGGTATTCTTTTTGTTCTACACTGATTAGAATGTATCAATCTCTGAATAGACTATGTATTATAGTTTTGATCTGTAGTCAACTTAATTTTTGCACGATATTTAATAATCAATGTTGTTTAAAATGTTGACAAATATATTTATACTTGAATATCATGAATAAAAAGGAAATAATTTCTAATGTAAATGAATTCGTTGAAATAGTGGAATTCAGTATAAAATAACGGATTTGTAACACTTTTTGTTTAATATTCAGTTTTTCATTCTTTTGCTTCTTGTGTCATTAGTGGAGATGATTAAGCTTTAACCAAATATCAGTACAGTTGCTTATAAAGGAATTGCTTATAATATCGTCTGTCTGTTTATCTATCTATCTATCTATCTATCTATCTATCTATCTATCTATCTCTATATATATATATATATATATATATATATATATCTTTGTTCATATCTATTTCTGTCTCTATCTATTAGTTTGTTCATATCTATCTATCTATCTATCTATCTATCTTTGTTCATATCTATTTCTGTCTCTATCTATTCGTTTGTTCATATCTATCTATCTATCTATCTATCTATCTATCTATCTATCTATCTATGTTTGTTCATATCTATTTCTCTCTCTATTAGTCTGTTCACATCTATCTATCTATCTATCTATCTATCTATGTTTGTTCATATGTATTTCTCTCTCTATTAGTCTGTTCACATCTATCTATCTATCTATCTATCTATCTATCTATCTATCTATCTATCTATCTATGTTTGTTCATATGTATTTCTCTCTCTATTAATTTGTTCACATCTATCTATCTATCTATCTATCTATCTATCTATCTATCTATCTATCTATCTGTCTGTCACTCACGTCGTTTTTACCCTCCATTAGAGCTATTCGTTGTACGGTTTGTAGCCATTTAAAAATAATAGAATAGACAGACTTTTTGTCAAGATTTACACCGATTGCACAAGAAATCTATCTATCTATCTATCTATCTATCTATCTATCTATCTATCTATCTATCTATCTATCTAGTTCGGTCCTAGTTTGCTCATATGCACGGCTTGATGTAAAAATATTCGTTAACAATGCATATTTCAGATTTTAAAATATTTTAATTGCTTTAATACTCTAGATTATTTAAGTGGAAGATTCTAGAATGTTATTAGTTTACTTGGGGTGAAATGGTTTAAAATATAGAAAAGCTAATTGCGAGTTCCACGACTTTAAAGTGGATGTTGCGTTGTTGAATATTTGAGCTTAACTTTAACAAAATATTAGAACAGCAGTCATGAGTATGGATGCCGGTCATTATTTAAAGAAATAAGAGGGTACAAATGAAAGGATTTAAAATCGATAAGTTTTTTTCTCCATTTTGCTCCTTTTTCTTTCTTCTTCTCACTGAAATCAAACAGCCTCTCCGATATGTCTTTTCCGTCTTTCCTCACGATCAAAACGGAATAATCGTAACGTACGTGTTAACCAAGGAACTGAGGTAATTATAATGTAATATCTTGTCTTCTAGATTGCAGCTGTAGATGGAACGAAGGCACCGCTTATGGAAGACCTCAAGATGACACACACACACACACACACACACACACACACACACACACACACACACACACACACACACACACACACATATGTATATATTCATTCTAATGTTATCTGTTCCATTATTTATTATTACATACGTGATCTTTCAATCTCTTTTGCTATTTCGTCTTGTGAGTGTTTGCTTTAATCTATAATCTGTACTATTAATTTTGTTTGATGCTGATGTTCTCGTATCGGTTTCCGTTTCATTATTTAACTGTCCTTTGCGCATCCGTATTGTTTTTTCTTTATTAGTAATTCATTTATTATGATAATTATATAAGTGAGTAAATAGCATATAAAGGAGGCTAGTCGTAGTAGCGTAAATAGTATTCAGTACCGAAAACCAGGCATTCCAAATTTTCAAAGAGCAAAAAGAAATGTTCCAGAGGAACCCTGATAAAAAAAAAATAATTTAAAAAAATGACCAGTAGAATGTAGAGCTGAAGAAATTGTCAGTGCATCATCAGATTTGAGGAGGGGCACTTATAGAGACCCCCGCCCCAATTAGTCACTTTGTAATCAATAGAGTAGCATAAATATGTCGGGTTGGCAACTTTTTAGAAACTGCTCGAGTTACAAACACTCCTGGAATCAATTATGTTTGCCAGTCAGATGTTTCTGAATGAAATGATAATCTTATATTATTGTTGACCCTCTGAACAAAAAGCCTCTCTTAAGGATTTAGCTTCAAAATCATTTTTACTTCAAACGTATCAGCTGTGTCTAGTAAAGGTGGAGAAGTTCTTTCATCTTTTTAGATAGCAAAGGTCTATGGTGATAACATTAATTGGGCTAAAGGAAGTTTATGTTTTGTTTTGGCTTATGCAGAGGGAAGCGAATTTATTATTGCTAGCTTTAACCTGTGAAAATTTCATGGTTTTCCTGATGTATCCTAGTTCTTAAGTTAATGGTTAAATAAGCTCATGGCGATTTCTACGACAATAAAATATCCGCAGAAATTTCTTCATCGCATCGTTAAATATTTGACAACTTTAATTGCAATACCAATCATAAAGATGAATGCTGGTTGTTATTTTAAGAAGTGGGTACAAATGAAAAGATCTGAAATTGGCAACTTTTTTCATTTGAGATAGAAAATCAAGTAAACAAGAACGAGCATGTTTCATATCCTCTCTTTGCTTTTAATCAAGGTCACAAAGCTGCCAAAGACATTTGTGCTGTGTACGGAGATGACTTCATGTTGTAGAGTAGTTTTCACAGTGGAAGCTTGTATTTCACTAAGTCGGTCCTAAAAGGGTCCGACGTACAAAAACGTTAGGAACTTGAAATAACAGTTAATGACGCAGCAATCTAGTTGTGGTGGTTGATACTTCAATGTCCGACATCGACTGACTCACTCAACTCCACTGAGCCCAACAGGCGACCGCTACTCCTACTACTTATTATATCTGGGAGAGTCTATTAACAATAGAATAGATATGTTCCGGTATAACACTTCATCATCGACAGAATGGCACAGAAATGGTTTTCCAGTTTCAAGGAGGGGAAGTTCGAACTTACAGAATCGGACGTCACGTGATATGGAACGTCACTGTTCGGAACAGTGACGGAGCAGTGACTTTCCATATCACGTGACGTCTGCGTCTCGCGAAGGACGCTACTTGCTAACAAACAGTAATTTTAATATATTTCTAACAAACAGTTATTTCTGATGAAAAATTGAGGACAATTTGAAATATCAAATATATATATAAATAGATAAATACTTTCATAAAATAAAACATTATTATTTTTTAATTTGAAACTTTTTCTATATATATATATATATATATAACAGCTTCTTCCCTCGAACCATTGCCATATGGAACCGACTCCCAAGATGATGTTTCACCAATCACTACAATCTTATCCTGTTCAATTTTAGGATTAACCGTTATCTTCCCCCCACCTATCTGTACAATCTCCCTCATATATATATATATATATATATATATATATATATATATATATATATATTAAACCAATTTAAAAGGCATGTCTCAAAAGCAGAAGTAAATTGCAAAATCCTCCAAAATTGCCACCTATCATAAATCTCTACCTCGAGAGAGCCTCGCACCTTGTACAGAGTGGACGTTTCTGCAAAAATAAATGTCACTTTAGCAAGTGGAGTATCATGGCTCTTCATAATTTCCTTATTTTGTGGCTCTAAATCGGCCCTTTTGTTGGTGATTTCAGTGAAAGAAAGAAAGAAAGAAAGAAAGAAAGAAAGAAAGAAAGAAAGAAAGCGGAAGCAATAATACCTCACTTTCAATAGAGTTCAAAAACGTCTTCGTGTTCTTATGGGTGACGAATTATTTTCCAAACTCTCTCTCTCTCTCACAAGAAGGATGCGGCAAGCTTCTCACTGCTATGTCGCTACTTCTATGGAAAGTGCTCTGACGAACTACATTTCTTGGTTCCGCCAGTTCTAACTTTCACGGCAAGGAACCACCATGCCACTTAGCAGACCACCCACATTCCCTCCGGATTCCATTGGTGAGAATTAACTTCCACTCGAACACCTTCTTCCCGCGAACCATTGCTCTGTGGATCCCGACTCCAAAGAGGGTGTTTCCCCGATCCCTACAATCTTAAACTGTTCAAGTCTAGAGTTAACCATTATATTCCTCTCCTATCTGCAGAAACTTCTTCTTAATGTAACCCTCTACCTCGAGTGGCTCCTGGCTTTGTACTAGGTGACCTTACCATAAAAAAGGAAATATTAAATACTAGCAGTAGAGCCCGGCATTGCCCGGGGATGTAACAGTAAGAGATAGATCAAGTATCGACCATCATAAAGACTGAAAAATAAAATTGACAAAGATTATTGTTTAAGGTTGATGAAAACGCATGTCTTAATTAGTATTTTGTTTTTTTTTGTTTTTACGAATTGGTCAAACTCAAACAAAATCATTGTTTTCAATCGTTATGAGTCTACCGATTGAATAGAATTTTATTATAAACAATTGTCTTGTAAATGGAATTTTTAAAGCATTCTGAATGTAAAAATAAGGAAAAAAAGTGTGCAAGACAATAAGAAACACTACCTGCCAAAAAAAGTGAAGTTTTGTTGAAATCGGTTGAAAAATGTAGGAAATCCGATCCCATATATAAACACACACACACACACACACACACACACACACACACACACACACATCCAACCTGGGTTTTATAAGTATAATTTGATATGAGTTGTCCCCCTTTCATTCTGGCGACAGAATTGTGTTTTCAAATTGATTCCGTGCAAAAATAATTGTGTTTTTCCAATTTTGGGCGCTGTCAGAACCACCGCAAGGTAATTTTACGTAGTCCTGTGAAGTTTTGTTGAAATCGGTTGAAAAATTTAGGAAATCCGATCCAATATATAAACGTACAGACACACACACACACAATCTGCGTTTTATAATAAGTAAGATTAGATATTTCCAACGTACAGGATTCAAGTAAACAACAATAACTACAAATTGTTAATCAAGAAATATATATCGAAAAAATATACAAGAACAAACATGCAATATAATTGTGTTCAATATGTAAATTAGGGGAAAGAAGTTGTTCACTTTCACTGTAGAATGATTTGTAATTAATTGTTCGAAGAAAATTCTCTTGAGAGAAAAATGTTCAGAAATCAATATTAGAGCACGTATGCATGTTAAGAATAAATAACACAAGAATACAATTAATTAAAAATGTGTTGTCTTATAGAATGGTTTGAATCAACAGAGTTTTGGTTGATTGTACTTGGCAGAGTCATACAGAGAAATGTAACTTTATATTACGAAATTCTGTGTCTGTGTGTGCGTTTGAAATGTGATGAGTAAGATCGTGGATTTGTGCTGACGGCTGGAATCTTATGGGATCTTACTGACGACTTGCGAAAAGTCGCCTCTTTTAAGGAAAAAAATGTAGGCTCCCACGGAAACGCGGGAAAACTTAATCTTGCACTAAAATAATGTGATTGGTTAAAAATGAACCAATCACTACATTCGTACTAACAGAACAGGCAAGCAAGCTCAAAACCGAAGGATTCAAAGAAAAGACTGCAATGGCTAAATTGTCCTATATAAAAGTAGTAGTGATTTATTAACCAATCGCAGGCGAATAAAATATGGGCGTGGAAAAACATAGCAACCGCTACAAATTTTTTTATGCAGGTTACTAAGGTTCCTTTTGTGCCTCTTGCATTGAATTTACCGCGGATACATCATTGAATACAACAGTTACATTCATTTGGCATAGATCGAGCCAGATTACCTGCGATGCAATAAATCATTCGTGTTTACAATGAAACGAAGAGCAGCGTGACGTCCACGGGACTTCCATGGTTATATGACAGTGAATGCTGGGCAATCTCTTCAGAGATGAAGATATTTGAAGTGACGGAGATATGGTTCAACCGAGGAATGTGTGGAAAATTCCGGACTGAACATGTGAGTAAGTA